CGCATTGATATTTTTATATTATAAACTTGCAACAAATGTTATGGCTCTTTTACCTTATTGATGGTAATGACTTTTGTCACTGTCGCTTCAAATAGTAACAAGTTTCCAGCCTGGTAACTGAATAGGGAACGTCACAAAACTCATCTCATTGAATTTAACAACAGCATGGAACAAATAACGCATCACATACTTCTTTCTAGAGACATGTTTTGTTTTTCTTTTCCAAATCTACATTAATATTATTTGTCTGTTCTAGCAATTTTAAAATGGAGACAGTAAATTAAGTATTTTATTGGAGCGTTTGATGCATGGCTGATTATTTTTGGATTCGCACTCTACTCTTAGCAGTCAGTTCCAAATTTATGTTGATGTCTTGTTTAAGAGATGATTCGTGTGCATGTGTGGGTAGATCAAGTGAAGTTCTTGATGCATTACGTACTTGTTTTGATTTATTTGGTTTTGGACTTAACGTTCCATTGAGGTTGTTTGTCACAGTGTTCAGTTTCGTTGGCCAAAGTTTCTTATCTGTCTTTTAATAGGACTAGACTATACTGCTGGTGTTATGTACTATCGCTAGAATACAAAAGAAGTATTTCAATCAATTTTTTAATAAGTGATTATATTTATATAATATTTTAATTTACGCTCTTCAAAATTACGTCATAGTTACGATGGATCCAAATGTGTTAAAAATTGTTTGGTATCATCATTAGCCGTAAGACGGCCACTGCTGAGCATAGACCTCCCCCATAGATCTCCACGACGTCTCTTGGCTTCCCGTACCCAGCGGCTTCCCGCAAGCTTCATAAGATCGACCTGCTGGGATGCCTACCCACTGAGCGTCGTCCGGTACGTGATCGTCATTCGAGAACTCTTCCGCCTCAACAGCTATCAGTTCTTCTCACTATGAGTCCCGCCCCCTGCCACTTCATCTGAGAAATTCTTTGGGCAATGTCAGTAACGTTAGTTCTTTGGATCTTATCATTCCTAATTCGATAGGTATACAAAGCATTGCTCTCCCCATTGCCCGTTGGGTGACCTTGAGCCTTCTTATGAGACTAATTGTGAATGACCATGCTTCATTTTCGTAATTGATCACTGGCAACATACACTGATAAATAATATTTTGGGTATATAATATAGAACATTATATCTATTTATAACCATTGCATTTACCGAGACTTCGCAACTAAGGTGCTGCAGTTAACTTTTTGTTTTAATTTAGGTATTGATGAGTTTAAGTAGGAATGCAAATAAAAGAAAGCCGGTATACAAATGAATAGATTGTGTTTAATAATAATAATAATAATAATAATAAGTAGTTTATTCGTTGTTTTTTACATTTTTACAGTGATTGAGTCTACCCTTTAAAGTATAAATACTTGTATCAGGGGAGACCCGCTCTTATACATTCTACTTAGTAACAAATAAAAATTAAAATTAATACAAGCTTAGTGTGTGCAGTGTTGTCAATCAATACCAATATTGTGTGTGTTTGTATGTGTGTGTGTGTTTGCGTGTGTGTGTGTGCATATGTGTGTTTGCGTGTGTGTGTGTGTGTGTGTGTGTATGTGATTAATAATCATTTCATGTTTTCTAATATATTCTCTGTATCTTCATATGTGAGTGATTTTAGCCATGATGTTAATTTTCGTTTACATTCTCGGTAAGTCATGGTATATATTTTTATTTGTCTGTTTATTTTATTATAAAGCCTTACTGATTGTATATAGAATTGTCTCGATGCGAATGTTGTTCTGGTCTTTCTTTGATGAATGACAGTGAAGGGATTACGTTTAGCACTTTTTGCTGGGTCTTTTGGCGTTTTTTTATGTGTCACCAGAATAGTTTGTAAGATATATAATTGGCGAACTGTTAAAATGTTTAAATCCTTGTATAGCTGAGTTGTACTATATAGTCTCTTTTTTTTATGCATTACTTTCAGAATTGTTCTTTGTGCACGTTCCAGATCAATAAATTTTGTTTTGAAAGTTCCTCCCCAAATAGTTATACAATATAGCATAATAGATTGTACAAGTGTTGTATATATATATTTTAGCAAATCCATATCAGAAATATTACGTAAGTATTTAAAGAGCCAGATTAATTTTCTAGATCTATTACATACAGCGTCTATTTGTTGATACCAGGATAGATTTGAATCAATGATAATTCCTAAATATTTTGTGCTGTCTACTTTCTCAATTTTAGGGCAGTTACAGTTGCTATTATCAAAGGGATTTTTACACGTATGTGGAGTAAGTGTTAGATTCGAATCCGGTTGAGTTGATTTATTTATAGTGAAAGTAATGTAATTTGTTTTATTTGCATTTAAGGTAAGGATATTTATACGTAACCAATTCATAACCTTTTGCAAACCTTCTTCCGCCTTTGCAAAGGTATCCCGCCATGTAGAACCACAAAAAAGTAATACTGTGTCATCTGCGTAAGAGAATATGCGTCCGTTGTCTAATTTCATGTCAGTTAGGTCATTTATATAGACTAAAAAAAGTGTAGGTCCCAAAACGCTACCTTGTGGAACGCCGAAGCCACTAATTGTAACATCCCTACTAATTACGTTTTCTTTAAGTTTTACTCTTTGGGTGCGATTGCAAAGATAATCTGTAAGTAGAAGAAGAAAAGATCCTCTTATACCAATCTTTTCCAGTTTGCGGAGAAGGATGGGAACAGAGACTGTGTCAAAAGCTTTTTTTAGGTCTAGAAATATGCACAGTGCTTTTTGTTTACTGTCTAATTTAGTAGCTATATGAGTGGTGAGGTCATGGATAGCGTTCTCCGTACTTATTCCTTCGCGGAATCCATATTGTGCATTTGATAAGATGTTGTAGTCAGAGAGATATTTTTTGAGACGATTATTAATAACTTTTTCTAAAATTTTGGAAAGAGTACACAAAATTGAAATCGGCCGGTAGTTACTGACGTCGTCCCTGTTCCCTCCCTTGTAAATAGGTTGTATAATGGATCGTTTTAAGAGTGACGGAAAGACACCTTGTTTAAGGCATAACGTGCAGAGGTATGTTAATAACGGAGCCAATTCTTTTATAGCCATTTTTATAAATATGGTCGGAATATTATCCCAGCCAGGAGCGGAGTTTACTTTAAGGCTGTTAACAATTGCTATAATCTCCGAATGATCTGGTTCAATTATACCAATAGTGTTTGGTTGAATAGGGAAAGTGGCGAAATAGTTTTTCAAAGTTTTGGGCTCAGTTTCTATTTGTTGTGCTAGGGTTTTGCCAACATTACTAAAATATTTGTTTACATATTCCGCTGATTCGTTTGCATCACCTTTGATACTCAATAATTCTGTGTTTGGGGTTTTTATTTTATTAAGGTTAGTTATAGTTTTTATACTATTCCACAATGCTTTATTATTTGATTTTGATTTTTCCAAAAGGTCCTTTTCGTATTTATTTTTAAGTTTTTTAATAAGATTTGTACAGTAATTTCTGTATCTGCGGTACGTTATTTTGAGAATTTCATTTGTAACGTCAGATTTTAATTTTTTTTGCAAATTGTTTCTTTGTCTAATGCATTTTAAAACTCCTGGTGTCATCCAAGGTTTTATTATCCTTTTACTGTGTGGTATATTTATTATTTTTGTATTTATAATCAGACTTTGTGATATTGTTTCAATTAGTTTGCTAGCAAAGATATCAGGATCAGAAATTGATGGTGCATTATTGGTTATTGTGAGCATATTACTTTGCAATGTTTTAAGAGCGTCAGGAAAGTTAGTTATAGTTTTAGTTTTAGGCACTATATTAGTTTTTGCTTTACTATATATAAATATTGCTGCCATTTTATGGTCAGTTACTGATGTATTTAATACTGTTACAGTGGCTGAATAGAGAGAAGGATTCAAATTTGTAACAATATGATCAAGACAACTGTTGATTCTTGTGTCATACCTATGTCCCGGTAGTAAACCATGCTTCGCCAACATGTATAGATATTTATTAGAATGTATGTCGTTGTGTCCATCAATTATATTTATATTTACGTCTCCAATAATAATAACATTCTTATTTTTTAGATACAGAGAATTTAAATGAGAGTCAAGAGAAATTATGAAATTATCTGGATTTTTTACGGAAGGTGATCGATATATACACAAAATACTGTATATCGGTGTAGAAATTTCAATGCATGATGCTCCAGATAAGTGAATTTCTTTCGCTGTATGATCAATTTGGTTTTTAATGTATACTACAACTCCATCACTACGATTAATTTTTCTAGACGAACTATAGACTAGATAGTTAGCTTTGGACGGGAGTGGCTTATCCGGATTCGTCCGGCATTCAGTCAGTGAGACAATATCAACTGGGTGATCTATCATGGATAGGTTAGTTTCAAGGTCATCTATGTTTGAGTTTTTATGTACGCTACGGATGTTTTGTGTTATTATTGACAGTGTCGGGATGCCTGGTGGTAGATGGTGCTTTATTTCATCGACATTACATTTCAGAGCACAAATATTATTTACTGAATCTAATTCATGTAAAATTTTGATTTGTTCATCCATTTAGGTGAAATAAATAAAATATTACTTTATGTATGGCATGAACAGATAACAATTGCAAACAAATACTCAAATAGAGTAAGTAAATTACACAAATGTTGTTAATAATATGCAAGGATTTATAAATATAGGATCTTAATGCGACAAGTGAGGAAAGTTGATGTACCTGAGACTGTGTTATGTCAATTAAGTGTCTAAATGCATGAAGTGTGTTCAGTTGATGTACTTGAGACTTAGTCATGATCGATGTATGTGTGTGTTGAGTTATCATGTATATTTGTGTATGTATAGTAATGTTGGACGTACTTGTATGTATAGTGTGAACTAAGGCTAAATTATTACAAAATTTATCATTATGCAACAGCAAATTACGCAAGCAGAGGCAACCTACATAATACAGAGTAATCAAATTATACAACCTTAAGATATCCAAGATATAGTTTCCATAATTTAGTCACTTATTTAATAATTGCTGAACTTGAGATTCGCTTGTGATATTAATGATGGGTGAGCTGTCGTCATGGCGTATGTATACTTTTCCGAAGTTTGTCCAGCAATACTTATAATGTTTGACCGTTTTCAAATCTCTCGCTAGATAAAAAAGTCTTGCTGCTTTTGGGGTAAGGTTTTCAGATACAAAAATTTGTATATCCGGATTGGATCCAATCCCGAGATGTTTGGAGCTCAGTTTATTATTTTTATTTTTGTTGTTGTAGAGTTTGGATGCTCGTATGAAGTCATTTTTTATAAGGGTGCTATTGAACTCGACCACTAAAGTTGTATTTTGTTGATTTTTATTTTTGTTTAGTTTCATGATGTCTTTTACTTCTGTCTGTTTTATATCAAGCTCTAACTTTTTTGATAATAATAAAACCATATTTAATAGGTCTTTCTTTTTCTCATCACCCTTCAATGGTACATTTTTTATCTCTATATTTGATTTTTTTTCGGTCCTTAAGTTTTCCTCAAATTTATTTTCCAAGAGTATTATTTGTTCCTTGTCTTTTCTCGACTCGATTTCCAGCTGTTCTATTTTTTTCCTTAATTCTGAGTTTTCCTCACAAAGAAATGTAATCGTGTTATTTAAATGGGAATTTGTGTGCTGTATATCTTTTAAAGTAGTAATAATTGTGTTTGTTTGATCCTTTTGTGCGAGGGAAAACTCCTCAAATAAAGATTTTATTTCGAATTTTAATTCATTTTTGACGTCTTCCAAGTTATTTATTATGTCGTCAGATCTTTTCCTTTTATTTCGCAACATTGCATAGCTTAACGAACTATCGCTATCCATGTTTGCCATATCAGGAAATGAACAAGACTTCTCTGGTGTTCTCATCATAGTAGTAAGTTAAATGCAACGATGATGTATACTGCAAATATGACAAAGAAATCGATAACTTGTCTTACGCTGTATCGGTATCCACGAGTCCTGTAGCCCAGTGCAGTATTTGTAGGTGATTAATTTCGTAGGTCCGAGTCAATCAGTCGTAGCGTCATAGGTCGTAGCTGGGGGCAGAGGCCGTAGCTGTCTCGTAGCGCAGACGTTGGCGACCCAGTGTTTGAATGCGATAAAAAATGGGATTTGTCTCAGTCTTGCGGGGGTGAAGGAGGTAGCCGCGCTCGGTGCTGCTTGCCGTAGGCGATGCACTTATTTATTTATTTAGATCGCGTCGTTTATAGAAATTTCGCACTAACGCACTTGGGTTTAAAAACTTTATTTGCAGACACGTTATTACATTTATCTTAGAGAAACGCGACACACGTCTGCTCGCTTGTTGTGTTTTGGACGAAGAGGTGTTTAAGATTAGGAAGAAGTAAGAAGTGAACGTTAAAATGATGGCTAATCGTGAAGCATAGAAATAAAGACAAGCAAGTAAAGTTAATATAAGTTGCTAACTCTCCTTCGAAGGTTTAAACCCCACTTACCAACTGAGGAATTATATAGATCGAACAACAAAATTGTTATCACACTAGACACTATAAAGATAATATTCACTCTACCAATTTAACAAAAACCTTTTTAAAATTTTACCAGGCTACTAAGACTCCGCGTTCACCATCTTCGGGAATCCTATGATACCGGGGACGCAAGAGAAAATACCATAAGGGGATTCCTTGTTATGATTGCGTCTAATAAACCTGTGCAGAAAGAGAACCCAATCGTTTTTCACTCTTCTAATTCTCTCCGAGATTTGAATTCTGCCCATGACCTTCTTTAATGATCCCTTCTCACACAACTGATTTTGTGGCCAAGTCGCTTTATATCAGAGCTATCAAACTGTGGAACTCACTGCCGGTAAATGTCAGACACGCACAATCACGAGAGTCCTTTGTTAAATATGTCAAGGAACATTTCCTCAAGCTGGATTTATCTTCCTGAAATTGTATTCTATTTTGTATATAATGTGTATTTTTTTAAATTATATTAGTATATGTATTTACTTTTATGAATTTTCACATCCATCTTTCTTTAATACACTTGACCGCAGTCTCTTTACTCAATCGGTGTAGCTTCTTTTAGTCAAGGGTAGCCTAGTAGAGAAGCTATCTTAGCAATAACGCCGCCTTTTGCATCGATGTTTCTAATAATAATTGTTTTCATGTTTATGTTTTTATGAGCAATAAAGTATATTCATTCATTCATTCATTCAACCCAAAACAGTCGCGGCCGCATTAATCACCAGTCCGGATGATGCGATTACATATTTCGCTTTCGACAGTAAAAAAAGTGAACTAATTAATACATTAGTCTTTCTGCAGTGAGGACGTAAAAGGGCTGATGATGACGATGAATGTATAAGAACCGAGTAATAATACTTATCGAATACGTTCAGTTTGCATTTACATACAGAATATTTATAGTCACATAGTAATAAAAAACGTAATTTCTTCTGTTTTGTTATTTTGAGGAGAACGGGTGTAACGAACTCGATGGAAAAGTGTTCTGTACTGGAAATATGTTACTATTTCCAGTGGTAGTTTGCATCGAGTTTTATATATAACAATGTGATTTTGATTTGTAATCTAAGACTATATTAAATTTCTATGCCAGTGATTCTCAACCACTGTGCCGCGGCACTTTTTTGTGCCGTAAAATTTCAAAAGGCTGAGAAACACTGCCTTTGCAAAGGTTTTCTAAGTTGTTTTTTAATTGAAGACGCTCTCAAATTCTACTGGTTGCAGCAAATTCCTCATTCATTTCTACCATATTCCTAATACTAGTTTAAGATGTCAAAAATATATATCAGTTTAGATCCATAGACTCATCCGTGGAGATTTAAGACCCTGGATTGAAATTGAAAATTGATTTGAAAATCACGATCGTAGTAAAAGAATAGACTTCAGAAAAATCTACTACTCGCCATCCTGCAAATGAGAAAACAACAAAACATTGATGCAGCCACTATGAAATTGCATTCGTATAAAGGAAGACATGTGAAAATAGAGAAAAATTACAGAACGCAACACGAAAATTCTATAAATCCACAAAACCTCCATTATAATTCAATAAAATCTTCAGTAAATCAAAGCAACTTTTGGCAGTAGCCCACAGGTCTAAAGCCAAGGCATGTGGAACATCAAATGCACGCAGCTCAGTTGATATATTACTAAAGCTTATTATTTTTAACCATTAAAATTACGAATGGTCATATTTTTTATATCACAACTGTTTTTTTTGGCAGTATGCCCAAATTCCGTTGTTTCTCTATGGCTATTTGTTTAACCGCTCGACTGCTAGTCGGTAAATCAATTTTTGCATTTAGTAATTGAATTTATGAGCTGTTTATTGTTTTGGAAATAGCTGTTAAACGACCATTATTTTATGAAACCTATTATATTCGAACACTATATTCGAAAGAAATATGTTTCCTTTTTAATACAGACTCAAATAAAGCTACCATCTTTATTACTCTTTATTGTCATGGTTTTAAGTGTAAAGTTTATTAAATTCCATTTTGAAAATTTTGGTCTAAAAATGTGTACATGATTTTAAATTTACGTCACAAGATGTTACTGCATTTATTTTTTTTACAACCTCCCATCAGTTTTTTCAGTTTTTTATAAATTAATATTATACCGATTGCTTATATTTTCACACGCCTTTAAAATAACTATTTTGAACTTGTGTAGCGCGTTTTTATTTGATTTCATGACGTTTCACACCCTTTACAGATTCCGTGTTCACTTAAGACTTAATAAATAAAACGTAACCTGTAAAGAGCACGAAACGTCATAAAATTAATTGATTTGTTATAATATACCTTACAACCATCCAAAACTTTACTTAAGTGGATTTCTTACCTTGTCTTTCTCAAAAAGTCCATCATTAAGGAGTACCAAAGATTCTCGCTAAAGTAGATAAACATTTTATTTATTTTTTGTGTCTGTGACCAATAAACCTACAATAAAAGATTTTATTCATAAGTAAAATACCTACTCATGAAAAAGGACTCTACTTATTCCTAGTAATAAAGAGTCCATTTTGTTTTATGAATTGAAACTTAAAGTGACGATATCGGCTATTCAGCAGATACTTAAAAAGAAAAAAGCATTGGCACAAAATTCAACATTTTTTATCTAGTAAATATTTTATAATATTCTATTTTTTCACAATCAAAGTGGAATAAATTGGTGTATAAAAAAAGCTCGCGAATACAAAATGTAATATCAATGTTCAATTTAGTCCCTTGTTTAACAATGTATTGATTTTTGTGAGGAGAAAAGGTATTTGGGAGTATATCTTATTCCCGCACGTGGCTTACGGCTTATGGATTCACAACCAAGTTTTGTCTAAACTAAAAAGCATGTCTATTTATTAGTACAAATCAAAAAATGTACATATAAAACAAAATAACGTTTACCAGAAAAAGAAGCGTAAATAATGTCATCTCATTATAAAAGTCAACGGCATCTGTTGAAGTGGAAAACGTAATTTTTCCCGGTACACTCCCACCCCGATAACAATGAGTAACCCTTGCAGTGTCTCAAACATCAAAGTGACAATAAATCATTTTATTTCAGTTCATAGGCCCTCCGCAAAGAGTCGACGGCCGCGTCACAAAACTGAAGCCATTACTCTCTTGCGGTCTTTGTACTAATTTTTTTATGACGACAATACAAGACGATGCACCCATAATGCAGTCGTCCGTAACTTTAATACGTTACGCGTTAAGTTGAATATTAACTAACACGGACGCTATTTAATTTGTTGACATTTTTTGTTGAAAATCTTTTCAGTGTTAAGAATTCGCGTTGCAACATTACGCTTCGTAATGGCGTCTTTCCTAATTGGCACGATTTTTGAACGGTAAAAATGATTGTCTGTCTGTCTTATTTCTGGATATTGCAATATGGCGTTTCGTATGTAATTTTCGGATGAGTTTCGAGGAATGTTAACTTGTTTGTTTTGAAGATTCTCTGAGTTAACAGGTTCGTTGTTCTAGATATGTTAGTTTAGTATATTAGTATGCTAATAAACTAATAATTAATTACTAACAAATTTATGATGCTAATTATTATCAATCAATATTATTTTTATTCTCAAACTATGTGAGGAAAACAGAAGTCCTAGATGCTCTATAATAATATAATTAAGAATAATTGAAAATTATTGTGAATGTTCTTTTTCTGTTTTCACAACATACGCTGGCTATATCGACCGATAAGATACGCCATTACGTATTATCGGAATGTAATAAATAAAAATAAAAAAACTAAAATAACACTGTCAACATGCGTGAGTTAATTACGTTACAATAAAAACGTAGAACTGAAATCTGTCCGTCCATTAATCTGCGCCCAGGGTACGCCCGTTTCAAGTTACTTCCATAACGCCCATCAAGAGAATACCTACGTATTTCAGCATTTATCAGCGACGACACAGAAAACAGTATATCAAAGGATGATTTCTTAATTATATCTTTCTACTTTCGATATGAGACAGAGACAGAGTGAGACAGAGTGAGACAGAGTTGTATGCACCTCCGGTCTGCGATCACTTATGTTAAGCAATTTTCACAAGGTCCAACTATAGGATTTGTGACCAAAAACTTTTTTCTAACTCTAATGCTTCAGTCGTTCCAATTAAAACAGTCGTTGGCTCCCACGAATCTGCTGGGCTCTGAATCCTGATTAATGCCACCTAAACACGCCGTTGAGTAAAGCGCTGCGGCATAGAGCTTCAATGAAGAGCGCGGCGATATCATCGACTTCGGGGCTATTTTTTGTAATAAAATAGCACTATTGCATATAGTTTTGCAATCGGTGTTACGCTCACGATGTTCATTCTGAAGAAACTGCATACATTTTTTGAGAATGTTTTCCATATGGGTTTTCTGT